CCAGCCAGCGTTCCCGGATCCGTACTACACATGCGCTTTGATTAACGCCTGTATCCAGAATATCGGCGATTTTAGTGAGCAGTGTTGTGCGATTGAAGACAGCCTACAAATCATCATCATCGTACAACGAAATACAAGGAAGCGAACTTCATTGATCGCTGCCAAACTCGCAATGCATATGCATTTGGGTTTGATGGACGGGTGCTGCCGGGGTGTCCAGCCACAAAGCAAGAGGACGATTAGGGTTCTCAACCAAAGCCTTTAGTTCTGACAAGAGCCTAGCCGCAAGGTAGCGGGTGAAGCGAAGTGGAGGCCCATTTAATTGGAGCAATTACTCCTCCACCATCATCATGACACTTTTTCTTTGCCTAAGAGAAATGTATGAATACGCAATGCAGCAATGTGAAAACTGTTTTATTCCAGTGATTAACGTCTACGGGAAACTTAACCCAGTTCCATAGCTAGCTGGAATAAATACAGTTCGACTGCATCGTCCGCAAATGTAGGAGATTCTTAAGGCGTCGATTTGGTTACGGCGTACCAACTTGATGGCTTCGCGTTGTCCTCTCTACGCTTGACCGGAAGTACAGATCACCTATGTGAATTTGGATTAATGGCCATTTCGAACATGGTCTGGCCTACTACTTTCCCGAAATCGTGATAACTGCGATGCAAAATGACTCAGGCGTTATGTATATGATATAGTAATGGATTGTTTTTTCTCCCCAGAAATGTTTAACGCGACATTGAAGGAATCCTTTCAAAAGATAAATCACTCATACACCATTCTAATCTGCCTTCGCTTCTGTGCTATGCCAATGTAGGCGGCGATTATCGTTTACTGGTTATTTTGTTACAAAATAGTGAAATTAATTCACCTCCAGGTCATTACTTGTCTATGTTTGTTCGCGTCTCGTTTGCACTCTATGATACGCCATGGTCGTATGATAATTAGCAATTTTGCACGCTATGATTTGATCTGTGAATCACTTGTTATTCATAAACGCGACTGGGGTTCTGCTCTCGTGATCATCATCGTTTCAGTCTGCAAGATCAATAACGACCAATTTTGTTGTTTTGGTTGACCTGTACTTAGTTTATTCTGGTAAACTTGATCGATCTAAGCAAGTATGAAACCAAAATTCACCAGTTGCAAATTAGGGTATCAAACTGGTATTGACATGGAGAGGGGAAGCGTTTGCGTCAGTCACTGAAACTGTTGACTCACACAGTTTGGATGCATTGGAAAACTCAGTTAGATGCATTTCTGTCTCAGTCAGAGCGAATTCATCATCATCATCCACTGTCAGATCGAACCCCCAGGTTGTTTGCGGTTAGATGCTTATGATGTTTTTCAGTTCGAGAAACTGGTTGCATTATTATCATCATCGCCAATGAAAATTCCTCCCTCGCTTTCATCAAACCCTAAGGTCCTATTTTGGTGGTAAACAGCTTTGCTGTCGTCCGGTTCAATAACCTAGAGGGCCCGGTGCTTATATTGCCGGTTTCCATCACGTAACATCAACTCCTCGAGGTCGTGGGGCTTTCCCAATCTGCTGTTCATCACACTGAAGTGGGCTGCACATTCTGTTGGTGATTATCGAATCAATGAAATCTACCATCTATCGAAGACTGGAAGCATGTCTATTAAGTTGATCTGATGACCGGAATCTAGGAGGTGACGTGCAATTTTCCACTGTAGAGACCATGCATACTCCCACATTGTGGATGAGAGAATAAGTTATGTACTCTCAGCATACGTTAAATCGCCGTAGCAAATAAAAGTCAGTATGGTGTAAGCATGAGCAACTTTAGTAGCGATTGGTTTGTGTAATATCCTTGCGTTGGCGGCCTAGAGCGTTCGTTCGGCCGTTCTAATAAACCAGAATATCCCAAATAAATTCCCTCTTGTAATTTATCCTGAATATCGAGCGGTACATATATGTTATTATTTGGTGCGTAGTACTTCGAAAATCCAATTATCTATTTGTGCACCACGAAATATGCTTTGTCCTTCAAAATACTTTCTCCATCGAGCTTACTATGACTTTATCAGTAGTGTGATACGGTTTTGCACATTTTTGAAAAATTGATTGTTGGAAGTTGACTTGACACGTTCCTGAAGTATACAGTGGGTTTTAAAAAATCTGAAGCACATGGTCTGAAATAAGTTAAAATTTGTTCGGAATATATACTGTAGTTTAGCTGGTTCCGTTCGATAGTTTCAATGAGACATCTTGGTGAGAGCTTAACGAAATGTCTATCCTCATGAATTTTGTGACCACATTTATTTGAAACCTGTTTTCACTTAAGAACTTGTGGATATTGGATTTACAATCTTTTCTCTTGATGTTTTCTTCTGTACAGGCCGCTTTTTTGGTTTCTTTCGTGGAGCCACCGAATTGGTCGCAGCCTCTAATGCAATCGCGGATGATACCCCCGAAGGAAGCACCGAGCCTGATCCGGGTGATGAGCATTCTGTGTCAGTGCGAGAGAACATGACTCCGTCGTTCCAGCTGATGTCAGATGAACTGTCGGACGATCTGGATTATTCCGGAACAGCCGACACCCAAAAGTATAATCAGCCCCTCAACCAGATAGTCGACGATACGCCGTTCGCCACCACCTCGTTGCTGCAATTAGAACACCGAATCGATTTTCAGTTGCGTGCTTCTCGTTATGAGAATATGTACATCTCCTTTCTGACTTCGCACACAAGCTATTGGACTAATGCAGATGTGGGAATGCTAATTATGACGCAATTGTTTGGTGTCACTCACCCACCAAAATAGGCCAGTTATGATCACACTGACGCCCTTGTTAGCGGTGATAATCTGTTCAGTATCTGTTCCTAACTCAGCGAGTTACCGGTCTTTCATTGGGTCCCTCATCCTGTCAGACGATTTCTTCCGTCCGTTTTGTTGTTCATATGTCCGAATTCCCGGGCTAGCCAAATAACTCCTGTGATACTACCACTTCCGTGATGTACTCCTCATACTCGTCTGACACAATCTTCAATCCATCAATGTAGTCATTTCTTTCACATCCCCCC